TCCCACTTTGTCCCAAACTATACAGTCGATTATAATGAGTCTTAATGCATCAAAATAATAGATCTGGCCTCCTAAGGTTCATTTATACGTAAAGTTTCAATCTTGACGTCCATGCATGGGGCTTTTGGCTCAAAAAGCCCTAAAAAAAGGTATATAAGAAGCATGGGTCTCCCATGGCCATAAAGTTGGCACCTCTATGCCATGGGAACCCTTAATGGTTCCAGATATGAAGTGTAGCTCCAAACACACTCACAAAATCCGATTATAACTTCACCAACTCATGAAAAGGGTAGAAAATAGCCCCAAAATAGGATCTAAGAGATAGATGGTTAAGGTTCAAGCTTTTTACCTTGAATGAACTGAGAATGAAGCAAAACCTCCGGATCTACTAGCTTCCACATGAACTCCCAAGCTTCCTTCTTCTCTTCCAACTTCAAATGCACACAAAAGTCACCAAAAAGCTTAAGAACACTCAAAAGAGGCTTAGGGTTTGAGTTAGGGCTTTCTCTAGGTTGGGAGGAACAATGGAGGCAGAATTGGGGCGTTATAAGTTGTTTAAATATAGTGCAAACCCCAAATATTAGGGTTTCATCCAGACAATCCTACTCGTCGAGTCGGTCTCCCGACTCGTCGAGTAGGTTACTTATCCCACTGATCCAAAGTCGCGTCTACTCGACGAGTGGGCCTCCAACTAGCCGAGTCCCAGAGCAATACATGAGTTTACTTTAATTAAAATACGTACCAGGAAACGAGTGTTACAATATAAACATAAAAAGATAGCATAAACATATAAACATTCATCGGGCCCCGCACGACATCGGACCGAAATCCATAAGCATATAAACATTCCTCGAGCTTTCCCCAGCATCGGACCAAAGTCCGAAAACATACAAACAAACACATGCAAGAATCACGAAGACGTCAAGCATACAAATATTCCTGGTTAGGGTTGTATGTTCTGTTTGATGACTTGAGGGTTGTCGTGTAGGGATTGAGGAGTCGAGGAGAGCCGACCTTCACGTCGTGGACCGTTCAGACACTACATGACATCGATGTGAGTTACCTTCCAGTAGAAGTGGGTCTAAGGCACCAAGGCTGACCCACTAGTAATTGTTAGTTGGGATGGTTATCTTTGTTATAATTGTCTGGTCTGTTATTATTGGATATGTGAGTATGCTAGACTACTAGATATGTGAGTATGCTAGTTTGCTAGTTGCCATGTTATATGAGATAGTATCAGTAGAAGGGGACTAGTCCCCAATTCGGTCATTAGGACCAATGGGTAGGTCAGACACCCTAGATATGTCTGATAGCATGATTATGATATGATATTATGTGTTAGTAATATGGGGTGTAATAGTCCCTATTTTCGGTTGAGATAGATCGGAGGGTAGGTCAGCATCCCATAATAGCTTGACATGGGTAGATCAGCACCCCAAAATAGCTTGACATGGGTAGGTCAGCACCACAAAATGGAATGACAAGGGTAGTTCAGCACCCCAGAATGACTTGACATGGGTAGGTCAGCACCCCATAATGGCTTGACATGGTAGGACGAGATCCCCAGAATTGCCCAGTAGTATGTATGCTATATTGCTATGTGATTATATGGTATGTGGTATGATGGGGGAACTCACTAAGCTTTGTGCTTACAGTTTCAAATTTGGTTTCAGGTAGCTCTTCGTTCAAGGGGAAGGAGTTGGCGGTGTAGCAGCGCATCACACATACACACATGATTTCCGCTTAGAGTTTTCTGGGATTATACTATGATATTTTGTTGCTTCAGATGATTTGATTTTGAGACATGATATTATGGTTTTATGTATTGACATGATCTTGGCAATGTTTTGATAAACTAATTTATGAATCACTTAACAAAAAAACAAAATTTTGGCCTCAAATTTTGGGATGTTACACAACACCACCGTGAGGTGGTGGCTGACTGGCTGCCACCTCATGCTGTCATTCCGGCGCCACCAGACGCGACCTTGGGTGACTGTGTGCACTTGTGTGTGAGTTGGGTTGTTGTTTGGGATGCTTTTGATGTGCTTTGGACTAGAATCATAACCACCACCACCACGAGGTGGTGGCTGCCGCCGTGAGCTGCCGTTGACCACCACTGCCCGAGGTGGTAGCGGGTGGTGCATGACTTATTTAACCTTAATTAACCAAAAAATTTAACCATTGGACTAATTGGCTTATGATTGGGTTGGAAACCCTAATTAGCGTTTAGAAAACCCTAATTTTGGAGATGTTGGTTTTGATTTGTCGGGACCTGTATTTGGACCAGTAGATTGAAGCCATGACTTGTGCCCGATTACATTGTATGATTGGTCTAATGGAGTGAAGGACTTAATGGATTAAGTCCTTAATGGGTTAAGTAAGAACACTTAACCTTAATCGTTATTTTATGTGAAAACCCTAATTATGTTGGGTTTTGAGTTGGGATTTTCTGTTGGGCTTAGATGTTTGGATTCTTGATGGATTTTGGAAAATTAGGCTATAATTGGGCCTTGGTTAATTGTTTGGCTTTTAGACCTTTAGAGTGTGGGTTTGGGCCTTGGTCATGGACCAAGCTAGGTTAAGGGTGAAATGGTCTTTTCACCCTAAGTATGGACTTATGGTTATACATTCAAAACCCGAATGTTAATTGAGTTTTGTTTTGACGATTGACAGTTCGGGGATTTGTTAGCCAACAACCAGAGAATTATTCACGAGACTTCAGCAGTGCGCAGTGAGTTTTCCTCCTGTTTGAAGAGGTCGAAGGCACCAATGTCGACCCGTATTTATGACGGTATGCATTATGGACTAAGGTCTGATGTCGGGCGGTGCCCGATGTATGCTTATATGTTTTCCGGATTACGATTCGATGTTGGGCAGTGCCCGAGGAATGTATGTATGCTTGATGTCTTCATGATTATTGCACGTGTCTGTATTTGTATGTTTCTAGATTACAATTAGATGTCGGGCGATGCCCGATGAATGTTTGTATGCTTTCTGGATTACAGTCCGGTGTCGGGCGAGGTCCGATGAATGTTTATATGCTTATGTTATCTGATTATTCTATGTGCCTTTATTGATATGTTTATATGCATACCGAGCTTTGCTCGTGCCGGGCAAGCCCCGATGTCGGACACTGTCCGATTCCGGATAGAGCCTGATTTTATATATTTTCATTTCATAAATTTTCTCTTAAGAAAAACAAAGCGACATCAATATACTCTTTACAATTTTTTTTCTACGTTTTATACCTTCAATCTAGCGCTTTTTGAGTTTTTTGTGTGATACATGTGGAAATATTGTTTTTAGAGTTATATTTTAATATACCAGTTGTAAAAATATTGTTTTTTCGTTTGTTTTTATATGTCTTATAGTTATTTTTATGTTTTTGGTTGAATTAAAATACTTCATTGGGTGAAAAACAGTTATTATTAGGTGAATTCATAAATAACAAAAATAATAAATGTAACTAGGGTTACTTTGGTCTTTATCATTCCCTTCACGATTTACGCCTTGTTTCGGAGTTCTACTTAAGAAGAGAAATTGGAGGAAACAGAGGGAAAGTGAGGGGTGTCGAAAGAAAATCGTGTTTCTGAGTTTTATTAATGGAAAGAAGGTGAGGCGAAGGAAATGATTTTTGAGACTTATTTTCCTTCCAAAATTTCCTCCCAAATTGGGTGGATTTGGGAAGAAAGCGAGGGGAAAGAAAATTTTAAGTTTTATTTTATGTTTCCTCTTGACTCGGGAACACAAAAACTTAAAATTTTTCCTTTCATTTCCTTCGAACTCGAGAGCACGAAATAATGAATATTTTTCTTCAGATTTCTTTTTTTCTGTCAAAATTTTCCTTCTCTTTCATTTAATAATAATAATAATAATAATAATAATAATAATAATAATAATAATAATAAAAACAATAATAAAAACAACGTTAGTAAAGAAATCAGGAACGATGAAAAGAGGGGGAAATGGGGATCGAGACGAGTTAGGGTTTGTGGCAGCGATTTGTAACTCAGACAAAAAGCAGACGAATACGCTTACTATCTATCGATCTCTTTGAACGTCGTAGCCATCGAAGTTTGAGAATACAAGAAATTATGAGTTACAGAGTTGGAGAGAGAAAACAATAAATTATGAGTTATAGATACTGGGGAGTGAAGTTGGAGTGTTACTTCTTTTTCTTTGGTCTTTGATCTTTGGTTTTGTTTAACCAACTATGTGAAGAGGCAGAGCAGTGCCGCCGCCGGTGAACAATGGATCGGAAACAGAAATTAGATTTAGAGAAGTGCGGAAGAGACCGTGAGGTAAGTTTGTTGCGGAGATTAGAGATCCCTGAAGGAAAGCTAGGGTTTGGCTTGGCACCTTCACTTCCGCTGAGGAGGTTGCCCATGCCTACGATAACGCTGCTTGGAGCCTTCGGGGAGCTAAAGCGAAGATGAACTTCCCCTCAACTGTTACTACCGAGTTTCTAGATGATCATCATTTGTTGTTTCATCAACATTTATACAACCATATGTACAATCGTTCTCGTTCGCATCAATAATCGGAGCACCAAATTGTCGTCCCACAGAGGCCATCTTGTAGTGGTATGAATAAATAGTACCTTGGAGTCCTGTAGTGGTCCCAAGCCTATGACGGCAGACGTCGTGTGTCCCCGGAGACATCATCCATGGCCGACTCCTTTATTGTCAGATGACAACAATTGCGATTCGTCTAATTCGGTGGTGGTTGATGAAGGTGATATTGGAGATATCGCTTCGTCTTCGCCGATGAAGCATTTCCTACGGTTCGATTTGAATATACAACCCCCATTGCATGAGATTGAATTCCCCACCGAAGATGACCTTATCTGCACAACTCTTCAGTCTTTGACGGTTGAATTTCCCTTGCATCTCTCGATCTTACTCTATTTTTGTGCCGAAAAATTAAGCCTCAAAATCCAATTATAGACATGATTAATGCTTTATTATGATCAAAGATCAAGTTATCTAAAGCCTTTTGTCGTTTTTTTTTTCTAATCTCATGACTGAAGATCAGATATGCTTTGCTCTCGACAAAAACCTCATGTTCATAATCTAATGAATCGACTAATTGTTCTTATCGTCATGTTCAAGGGTGTTTGAATGTGCATATAAGCTTGATTATTGTGGCGTTTTTTATTATCTTTGATCTAAACAATCTGATTTTGAGAATCACGAGATGACTTGGTCACCGATTAAACAACCCAACACTGTCTCCCTCCTACTCCCCGAATACGTGGTTTGTTGGGTGTTGCATCCAATTGAGACCCGCCCGCCCCCTGACAAACATCAGCCGTCTAATTGTAATTGTAATCAGATCGGATGCGTTCAAAAATTTATACGCCAAATCAATGATCATCTGACCAGATCTGTCTATTCTATAAAAGCAGACAATTTGAAAAGGCCAAAGTCTTTTTCATGTTTTATAAAAATAGCGGCATGTCCACAATGTGACGTTTGATGGATAATATCATTGTTTTGCAACTTTTTTATGATGACCAAATAAGTAACTTATGAGAATATAATTCTATCAAAGGTCCACACCACACGAACACGGCATCTTGTGCTGTGCTATTAGTAAGCCTCTTGTAAACAAGCACCAGCCGCAGTTATGATACACAATTAAACAAAAATTTACCCCAAGTCACCTGCCATTGTTATCCTTGTGTAGTCGGGGAGGGGGATTCGTTAACCTCCTTTCTAATGGTGTTTTCCTCTTACTCACAACAAAACGATTCACCCCTTTCCGCATCGGCATAATCTCTGGAAAGTCTTCATCCGGAATTTGACTCAATTCCGATATATCTTTAATCTGTGCAACACGTCGGAACCATCTTTCCGCTTTCGCCTCTTCCGACATGTCCAAAGGATCCGTTTCCTTCACCGCCGACCCCTCCAAGCTCTTTCCATTCCACCCGTTTCTAACCTCTTCATTTTCTTGATTCCGGAGGGGTTCTCGCACAAGATTCGTGTCAGGAGCTTCATCCGTTGGAATTGTGTTTTCCGTCACCTCCTTGCTGTCATCTTTCTTGGAAAAATAATCGGGTGGAAATGGAACAAACGGAACGAAGTTGGTGCCGCTTCCTTTCTCCATGGATTCTTGTTTATATTTAGGGGAAGTTAATGATCGATCTTTTTTCTTGCTAACCACAAACCGGTTTTCTCCTTTACGGAGTGGCATAATCTCGGGAAAGTCTTCATCTGAGATAACACTCGGCAAGTCCGTGGCATCATGCAACTCCGCCACCTTACTGAACCATTTCTCTGATTTCTCTTCTTCAACCGTATCTTTAATTTGACTTTTAATGTTCGATGCCGGTTTTTTTTCTTCATCAGGCTTTTTAGCAAACATATCGGCTGGTAATGGGACAAATGGGGCGTAACCAGATTTGGCTCCGTTTGGAACTTTTTTGGCATCTTGTCCGGATGTTTTCATCTGCCCATTGGGTTCACCTGATCGACTGCATTCGCATTTTAAGCACACCACATTCCTACCATGATTGAAAAAATTACATCTGGAAAGGAAAGAAAGTTCAACCCTTTCAATACTATAGAATATACAATAAGAATTTTGGTAGAGGTGAGGAAATGTAGTTAGATGATTACTCCTGGATTGCTTGATTAAACAAGACAAGAAATGCAACTTACTTTGAGCATAGCCATTCACCTCTCTTCATTGTTGGTCCAATTTCATTAAATTTCTCCACAGTGGGCAGGCTCAAAGCTGCCCCGCTACTGTTAAACTTAGCCATCTCTCTCAACAAATTTCGGGCAGATGATTCAGTAGCCTCTCTAATGTTTCTTTCAGGATATATAATAGGATTGCTTGCATAACTCAATATGTACTTCATCAAGTCCACAGTTGTTGCTTCATTTGATTCGTCCCCCTGCAATTGTTGAAAAAATATGCATTTCATATATAAATTGATGAATCACACCCAAAATCACATCCATGTAGTGTCGGTTCTAGCAATATAGTCTTAACTGATCAACCACAATCAACCAGATACAAACCTGTAAGAAAGATCTCATTTTTCTCTCAGTTTCAAGGGAACTTTTGAAAAGGAATGGAGTCCCTTCGTCTATTAGCACCTGGATATCATCCTTCGGAAGGCACCTGGACACAAAAATCATATGAATGATTTGTTGAGAAATAATACAAATTGAAGGTGGTGTTTTGATATGCGTTTTAAAAGAAATGATCAAATTACTATTTCGAGAGCTGTTCGAAATTGGGTGAGGAAGAATAAATGAAGTGATAAGCATCGTGAAGAGGGGACTACAAACCCTAATATTTCAGGCCTATCATGTGCAAAACGCAAACAGGAACACGCAGCATCCAGAAACTCCATTGATAAGCTCTCATTTGGCACAAATTCCTCCTTAATATTCCTATTTAGGTCGAAAGCACCGGACATGGATATAGATTCGAGAAGGAGTGACCATTCCGGCCACGGGTGGGACGGTGAAACGAGATAGGCGTCGGCGGGAACATGATTTTTCTCTTGCAGAGTGGATTGAGTGTAAAATTGTTGAGAGGATTTGATCGGAAACAGTGAGTTAGCGCGATAGGGGAGGAGGAGGTGGCGAGGGACGGTGGAGAGGGGAGACAGTGGACAACTAAGAGAGTGGCGGTGAGTTACGCAGAGGAGAGTAGACGGTCTGTGATGGATATGAGAGATTGGACCGTTTAAGAGAATGGAAAGTCTTGACGAAACCCCGAACATTTGATCGGAGAAACGGGAACCACCGACGACGACCATGTTTGGATTGGTCACCGGAGAAGATGTGGCTTTAAACGCATCAAAGACTACCAGATATTGTATTTGAACACCGTATACCGCTTTTACCCCTCTGCCTGGAACAAACAAACGAACAATTTTGTTCTTTTTTATAAAACAAATATTCTAAAAATGATCGGTACCCCCGAACATCCTGACCGAACTACTCTCAAATTCATAACAATTTTTTAATTTTTAATTTTTTTACTTATGTCTGAAATATTTAATTCGGATTTTGGAGTGTGGAATATCATCGTTTTTCAATCATGTGTGATTGATTTTATACCATGGTATCTTATATAGTTCATTAAAAATATGTTTGTATAATTTTTTGTTGTATATTAATAAAAACAAAAACAAAAATCTTTAAATCCGGAATTTTTTATTGGATTTCATTTTTTTTTTTTTTTTGAAATTTCAAAGTTTTTTTTATTTGAACTCTGAAATTTTAGTTTAAAACCCAGATAGTAAATAATTCAGAATGTAAATCTGAAACTTGTCTTTTTGTCAAAATGACAAAAAAAAATAATTTGGTCTAAATGCCTCGTTCCGAAATTGGTGATTATATTCCCAAAAAATCTATTAAACATACAATTAAACATTAAAAATAAAGTTATTCCCTAAAATGACGATACAATTCACCATATGCCTATATTTTTCGGATTCTAACAAAATATTCATTAAAACCGTGAATAAATGCATAAACTCACGTAAACTTTTTGTCTAACACGTATCGTTGATAAATATTCGCAGCCACACTTTATTATTTGTGAATAATATTTTAAGATGGATTCAACGGTTTGTAACGAATAAAATCGCTTAACATACCTCAAAAAACTTTTTCTTTTTGATTAGTTATGTGTAGCTCATTTCCGACATATCGTTCAACCATGCAAAAATAATTGATTATCGCTAAAGAATCGTGAGGCTACTAATTTCGGTCTATTTAAGAGTTTGAGAATTATATCTTTAGGTATTTGTCTAATTTTTGCAATGTGTTTATCATGGTTGGTCAGTTAATTTTGAAAACCTTATACGGAAATTAAAATTAGAAATATATATATATATATATATATATATATATATATATATATATTATATATAATATATATATATTATATATATAATATATAATATATATATATATAATATAGGTTCAGGTTCATTTGAGATCATTCTAATTTTGTGAGACCGTAAATATCAAATCTAAAAATAATTTTAAAATGCAAAATAAATAGAAAAATCCAAAAATTCTTTTTTAAATATTATTTTCGGAACTTGAATTTTATATATATATATATATATATATATATATATATATATATATATATAAATTAAAAAAAAAAAATTCCGTTGTTTTTTTTTGAAAAATACGTGAAATATTCTAAATAGAATATTACACTGATATATTCTAAAAAATAATTTTAAAATGCAAAATAAATGGAAAAATCTAAAAATTCTTTTTTTAAATATTATTTTCGGAACTTGAATTAACTAAAAAAATTTAAAAAATTCTATTTTTTTTAAAATAC